CACTGTTCTCAAACATACTTATTACTCCAGTGAATTGAGAGAATGACTATATGTTTACACATGAGAGGCCTTTTCTTCCAAGGTACTGAGGAAACTCATTGACACCTAATCACTCTTGTTTTTGGTGAAACAGAATGATTTACTGGGGAAAACAAAGCCTCAAAGTGAAATAAACCTACCTTCTAGTGCTGGTTTCGATACTCAGTGGCTGTGTAACCTTGGGTAAATCAACCTCTCTATACTCCGACTCTAAAAACAGAAACAATGATACCTATTTTATAGACTTAATGGGGTGTGCCATATGATAAGCACGTAGTAGTAGGTGCCTAATTAATGTCAATTCGTTATCTTTTAAAAAAATAATTCAGGCAAAAGTTTGGTAAGATGAAGAGACTAGTGATAGTAAATAAAATGTGGTTTGGAAGTTAAGCTTCATTTTTTTGTTCCTATTGCTCAGAACTAATTATGTGAACATTTATGCTGTGGTATTGAAATAAATGGAAGGAATCAAAGAACTTCTGCCCTATAGTTTTTCGGTGTCTTTCAAATGTATAAATATGCTCTAGCTATGGCAAAATCTGTGTCCTACAGGGATAGAAACTAGCTCTATCTTGACTACTATCTCTAGTTATATCTTTAGCACCTGAAAGGGCATGCAATTAATACTAAATGAATTAATTTTAATTTAATTTTAAAGGTTGTTTATGGAACTACTACCAACGTAAGGAATGTAGAGCTTACTTATGATGTATCTAGTAGATAGAAGTACAACTGGAGTCACTAGTGCAGGAAGGGCCTTGACCCAGATAATGGCCTGGGATTTCCAAGTTCTCCAGCACAGGCTGCACATTCTATATGAAGCTTTGCTTGTTGATTATACAAGTCAGAGATCCTGTTAAATAAAATAACAGTAAGCCAGGAATATTTCCTTTAGAAAGCAAAGATTTACCTGTTGTTGAAGAATTCTGAGCTCAAATCATGATGTAGACCGATGCATACCATGGAGATAAGATACTTGGGTCAAGAGCACAGAGAAATGCATAGTCAAATATTGGAATATTTTGCAGATAACATGCATCTTGTACTGGGTGAGTTAGTGACTGAAGCCAGAGAGAGCTGCTCATCTCAAGGTGTTCTACTTTTATTCATTACGAGTTGTTAAAGGCTTAGCACCAATAATAACTCAGCATCCTATTTCTCTATTCTTATGTCACTGTCATCACCAGCCACAGACCTTATTGGGCAGTTTTACATGTGGATACTTGTAAATTTCTTTCTTCACTTCACTAAAGGGGAAGTGCCAAAGAAAAAGGAATGCATTTCACATTGTTTTAGGATACATTTGAGAATTGGATGAACTAAGGGTCCCATTTCCAATTATCCTTTCTTCTCTTGGGGTACAGATACAATGAAATCCGTAGGGAGGCAGCTCTTGAGTAGGTAGCTCTGGGCTAAACTTAGGGACAAAGTTTAAGGACCAAGAAGAACCTTAGGGAAACCGACCCATGAGTCCAAGTAAATATGTGAAACTTAGAAAATTCATTTTACTTCAAGCCCTAATCTATTTTCAGATATCTCTGTTTAATAAACCTCAGATCAACACCTAGCTTTCCAGGGTCAAGATAGAGAGTTCTAGAAGATGTAGCCAATCCATTTGATACATTTTAGGAAGATAATAAATAACTCACAATTGGTTGACATGCTTCTGTGATATAAATATTCAAGAATAATCATTCATTGCCTCACATATTACAAATAGCAATAATAAGATTAAAGAGAAATAATAGAAAATTCTATTTTTTTTTCATTTAAAAAATGGTAAAAATCAGAATCTTGGAGACTAGGAAGTAAGATTCAGTTGAATTCATTAAATTCAGAAGCCAAGGACAACAAAAATAATTTTTAAAATGATGAGAATAACATACAGGCCAATACTCAGATGTGATGTGTGATTGCCAGGTCGATTTTCAATTACATTTCACTGATGTATTCATTTGTTTCTTAATGTGTTCATCTTGCCCATTAAGAATAATTAGCAGCTTTGCTTAGAGATTTTCTGGCTTCTGGCAATGTTCCCCCCCCCCTTTTTTGTTGACATCCACTTTTACTTTTTAGAAAGTAATTTTTTGGATAATATCCTACAACTGCTGTATAATTTAGGCTTCCTAAAATTTTAAAGGAAAGATGTAAACAGTAATTTTTAAATGAGTTTGTTTCTATCTATATGCATTAATAGTATGTGATTCAGTGAATTAGTTATTCTTACAGAAAGTGGGCACACAAATGGTTGGGGGGATTCACTAATATTAACCTCACTCAGTAAAACAGATTACGATGGATGCCCATTGTCGGCTCTGTTAGCAAATCAAGAACAACATTAGTATTAAAAGCAGGAAAAACACATTGCCAATTTTAAGGCTTTATGCATGCTTTTTTCTGTTAATTAAAAAAATTAGATCTAGTTACAACAGAAAAAGGCACACAAACATAGAATAACTGCATGAAAAAAACTGAATTCTATCAGGAAAGTCCTAAGAGATGAAATAAAACACACGACCAGTTTTGGTCTGCATCCTGAAAGGACCTACTTTATCTACATTGTAAAGTTCTTCCCCTCCTGCCCTTTGGCACCCCGCTATATTAAACCCATTGTAAAACCCAGCACAATAAAGCACTCTCAGGGCTGAGCTTCTGAGGACCAAATGTTAAAAATCCATTTTCTTGGGAGGGGGCTGTACCAATCATTTCTTTGAAAGGCCGGCAGAGTGAATACAGAATCTGAGATTTCCTCTCTGATTTCAAGAGCTGGCATGGCATCTTTGCTGTTTAAAGCAAAGGTGCGGTAATTAATGACATTAGCATTGCTTCCCTTCTCTGGAAGCTCTGTAGTTTAGCTCAATAATAATTTTAGTACAATTAAAATTACATACTAACTGCAGATGCTTCCCATAGTTTGATAAAAGTTCTAATTGGATTCTGATGCTTTTTAAATAAGACACCTGCTGACTTGAGGGGG